TGTCCTGCTTCCTGTACTCCTACCAAATTTCAATGCGATAGGGCCACGTAAACAGAAGCTATTTTTTGTGACCCAAATTTTTATTACGCACGCATCGGCCCCTGTGAGCGGAGTTCAATCTTGCCACCTGCCATAAGTGTTCCCATGCTGCCCCCTATACTCCTGCCAAATTTGACCTTTCGAGGTCCACGGAAACAGGAGTTGTGAATCCGTGGCCTAAAATTTCTATCGCGCACGCCCCGCCCCCTGTAAGCGGAGTTCGATCTTGCTACCTGCCGTAAGTGTTCCTGTCCTGCTTCCTGTACTCCTACCAAATTTCAATGCGATAAGACCATGTAAACAGGAGCTATTAATTTGCGACCTAAAATTTCTATCGCGCACGCCCCTCTCCCTGTAGGTGGAGTCCGGTCCTGCCGCCAGCCATAAGTGTTTACATGCTGCCTCCTGTACTCCTACCATATTTGAGCTTTTTAGGTCCACGGGAACAGGGGTTATGAATTTGCGGTCAGACAAACACACCGACACACACAACACACACAAACACACCGACACACCAACAGACACACTTAGCGAATTATATAAAGTAGGATAATTGTCTCGTCCCTGCAAACCCTTACATACATGTGTGGTAAGTTTGCGAACATGGTCCGTGATTTACCAAACCGTCAACAGCTAGCATCCGAGTTAAGGAGTGGTAGAAGAAAGGTTGCTCGGGGTCGTTTTGATTTAAAAGAGCCTCAGTGTCCACTCTTTTTGTGGTTGACCCGGCCACAAGATGCGATTTTGTAATGGCTGTGGGACCACAGCAGCTACCAGGGTGGTGGTAGCTTTGATGTCAAACGAAATAGTGGCCACTACCGCCTTATAGCCAGATCTGTTCGTGAGAGTTCATGAACAAAGGGATATACCACCGGAGTTCATTTATCGAAAGAAATCATTAAACTGAGTTGCTCCAGGAATGTGTACCCAGAAAAACGATCTCCAAAGAGACAACAGATATCGATGAAATCTGGGGAACTGTCTAGCTGCCAGTCCCAGTTCAGCAGACTACATAGCTAAGCTGTCCCAGGCCTAATACTTGATATTATATAAGGCTTACTCGAGAAACGACGAAGGCACTAGGAAAAACAAGAAGTCCCGTTAGGGTTAGCAACGAAGAGCACAGTGTCCGGAAGCACTAGCACGGGTTCAAGTCTCGTTTAGGGCCGACGTTTTGCCCATAGCTCGTCAATCTTGAGAATCTACGATCTGCTATATACGTAGCATCGGTTCACCGGAATGTAAGTATTCCCATTTGTCACCCGGCCGGCGATACTGCATTCTAATGTCATTGGAGTGATGATTTCCGCCGTTTTTGAGAAGCGACTCAGAAGGGTTCTTCATTTCAATGTTTTGGATCAGTCTCTACTGTTCGCTCACCCTATGGCGACTTTCATATGTACACAACACTGTAACTATGGCCGACCATTTACTACAACCCGTTCTGACAACATTTACATCAAGAACTTTGAATACGACCACATTGGTTAAATGATTATGTGTGAGATTCTATTCGTATTTGCAATTTGCTTCAGATCCACGACTTTCGCCAGCCTTTCTTCCCTCTCTTCTTCGACTTCTTCTCAACGGTCCTGATGACGATACTTGTTGGTGCTGCCGTCATTCTCCCGTAAATAGACGATGAGTCGGTCACGGCCGGAGCGATCACATCAGAAGAATTCACTGTCGTTGTCTTTTCTTCGTCGGCGGATTCTGTAGAGATCCTCTTTTTTGGCGACGCCTTCTTCCCATTCCGTGGACTCATACCGCTGACAAACACTTTGTGCAGTCGCCCCCGATATCGGCTGTTCGCACTGTAACTGTAGAAAGATCGCTCTGTCCTATATCGAAATGTACTCCGACGGGTGAGGAAGCACTTAGGGAACTTGCCAGGACTCCCAGGTAGCTCCTTGCTGGAGCCACTTCTCGAAGTTCCATTGGACTCGTCGTCGGCGGACAATCTCTCTTCACCATTGATCCCGGCGGTTTCTGGCAATGACCTTACATGAGACTGAATCGAAGAACCCATGATTCCCTTCTCCACAGGTCCGATGGCTGTGGTCACTGACTCTGACTTCTCCTTGGATGGTCTCTCTGGAGATGGACGAGGTCTGTTCTTCCGTGGCTTCAGAATCCGACGCTGAGAATCCACTGAATCATCAGCAGGGCGCACTTTCTTCTTACGAACCTTTTTATTTTCAATGGATGAGAGCCTTCGCCTAATGAATATGGGCTTGATCTTACGACGCGCTTTCGGTGCTCTGGCGGTTTTCAGCGACGATGCGGTGAATTCGGGTAGTTCCTTGACTTCATAGTCTTTAGACTGGACTTCGGTGATGACTGGCGTGTTTGATTTGAGTTCATACGAATTAGTCCAGTCACGATCTGTTAGCTTCAGAACTCTGAAGATCTTCTCCTGCTTATTGGCGATAAATTCTGTAAGTACTGAACGCGAGATCCTAAACGGCGGTCTCCTGCCGTATATCTCATGAATCATCTTCACAATGGCCTTAACGATCACCTTCACTGTTACCTCTTTGCCATCATAGGTAAGGATGCCATTTTGTTCATTCCTTGCAGCAGTACTCTTATCACCTTCCTCTGTCAGTTCAAATAACTTCAGCGCTCCTTTGAGACGAAATTTCTGGACTTCACTGGTCCCACGAGCTGTACGGTCTTGAGCTCTGACTGGGTCGAGCTTCAGCTGGTCAATTATGTAGCACTGTACCTCCTCGATCACACTGGTCACCGCCGCCTTGGTCATGTAAAGTGCGGGTCCTTTCCTTTTGAAGAGGTCCGTCTCCATCCTCATAATAGCGCTGGCTATTTCGTTCACTGTGACCTCTTTTCCAGTCAAGGTGTGCGAGACACTGCGACTTTTACTCTTTGTCGTTCTTGAGTCAACAGCGTTCGTGGTGATCTCCTCCATCCGAACTGGTAACTTTGTCTGGCTCAACTGACCGTATCTAGTTGGAGAAACCTTGACACCCGATTGACCATCCCCCAAATGTACATGCCAGGGATCCTGCATGAGAAAGACGAATGGTTTTCTGGTCTGGTCAGCACCGTGTTTTCTTTCGCGAGCAGCTTTACGATGGGAAGACTTGACGATGTCTCTCACAATGATTTCGGGATCGATATCGTCTGTGGAATCGGTGGATTCTTTCGCTTTTCCGCCTTTGTTCTTTGACTTTTTTCTTTCTTTGAGCTTTTGAAGCTCTGCTCTTCGCTCCTGTATCGTTCTAATGGCGTTATCGTAAAGGTCTGAAAGTTGTTCAACCAAATTGTATAATATTCTGATTTTCCTATGAATCCATTCAAACCGAAACCGAGCAATGTGGGGTCAAATGTACAAACCGGCAGCTTCCCACATCATTTTGGCGATATCTCGTTTGGGCACAGGCCTGCAACGTTAACATGAATTAGCAGTGAGGAAGCGCTAGCCTCACTCATGCCGCTGAAGTATCTTCTCAACCGATTTTCAGTTCCCTAACCTTACGGGAAAGGAAGGCATATGACACACAGCTACCAAAGTGATCCTGCCACCATCCATCGACTTTGCCAACAGTTACTAGCCCTAGTTTTTCCTTGGGGAAATCGCCATTCTCTTCACTTCATTCCCCGCCCGGCGTTGTTCAGTACCGCAGTAACGGCATTCCGAATACCTTGCTTGATCACGTAGGTCCGCATCAAACACATGCTATCTAGCCATTTGCTTCATGCCCAAACGTTCCAGTCAGGACCCATTTACGAAATACTGTAAGAGCCAAATGGTCGTCCTGAGACTCGTTATTGTGGACTCATTAACTTTGATACCAGCCTCCCATGAGAAGACTTCCTCGAAGAAAACTCTATCTCCACCTCTTTTCACTTCCTTGTCCTCCCTTTCTCACTACCCCTCTCCTTCTCATTATCTTGCAGGAAAAACACTATTGCAGATTCAAGTATGCAGCTACACAGTGGCCAAGTAGAACATACTTGAGGATCCCAGCAATACTATCCATTAGTTGTGGCTTTTTCTCTGGTTCCACAACTGTCTCTGTATCGGAAGCTACAGTCTGAAATCGACTGCTTGCATTCTCGTCGGTAAAAGAAAAGCGTCGGGAGTTCACCTCATTTCCGTCTTCAAACGAAGAGCCAGTGTTCTGACCAAAATACATTGTTCCTCTGCTCATGTACGTGTTCTGGGGTAGGCTGCGGCTTGGAACAATGCTCGGTAACGCTTCGCTGGGTGGACTTGCAATTTGGCCTGTTGTCTGTTTTAGATTCGCTGAAAAGAAGGGCCTCNAGATTCGCTGAAAAGAAGGGCCTCAGCCGGGATCTACCACCTGTGAGGGCCGTCCTCGAACTTTGATGAAAGCCGCCGGCCTTACCCGTACTTTTGGCAGGCGGCGGATTGGCAACCGCTGGTTGACATGACCGATGTGCTCTGAAAACTTTTTCGATAAGGAGTTCCGTAAGGTGGAGATAATGATTGAGGGATGACGGGGTAGTCCGAAAAGGCATGCAGCGCTTCGAGACAACTATATAGGAATGACTGCACGCTGCTCGTAAATCTGTACTAAACTATAGCAAAGCAGTAGAGTGATGGGATAGACAAAGCAGATACGGGGACACTCATTGAACAATCTAGAATTCAATTTCATCGTGATTGGTTCTGCTACGCATCCTCAATTCCAACAAAACAAAAGAAACGATACGAAAAGGATTGCCATGAGAAAAAGGAGCGAGAGAGGAGGAAGCGCCTTTTCGAGAAAAATAAAGAAGCATGGGTCGTAGTCAAAGTAAAATTTCAAAAACAACGAAAACAAGGGGGCAATAGAAATTGAAGAAAATTCGACATACGACATTACTACGGGGGAAAGGAATTCTGGGGCAGCGAAAAGTGGGCGCGGGTGTTGTATTGACCGGGAGCCCCATCGACTCATGGGTGATCACGAAGGTGACGTTAAGGGTACTGATGATAACGTGATATGGGGTAAATGATATAAACATCATTCTTAATGTTTTCTGGCAGGTTTCATTTCGTTCCGAACGTTTTCAAGGATGCGTACGGCTGCTTCGTTAAGCGATGACAGACTTTTCCTAACGGCAGGCGCTGCGGCGAGACAACTAACGGAGGAAGCCCTCGCAGATGATTTTCGAACAAGCTCCTGATCCTCCAGCTCCGCACTGATAGCAGCTCAAGGACCGCCCCGAATAACAGCAGGTGGACGAAGAGGGTCTACGAAAAATTGTATCCCTAACCATTAGGGAACACTTACTGGGGTAGAGGTTGTGATCGTTGGTAGGCTGGCTGGAATGGATTGGCATTCGGATTGAGCGGCGATGAGCGTGTTGATGGCGGCCAAACCATGGGCATTTGCGCAGATACCTGCAAGATCCATCGATAGAGTTTCTGCTTCCGTGCTCCTCTTTCCATTATGATGATTACCACTCACCGTATTCGTCACAAACAGGTCCTCTACAGCTACACGAGTATACGTTGTTGTTGGACTTGTCCAGTTATTCGAATGGAATCCAGAATACGTTGGAGGAAGTGGTGGTGGTGGTGGTGGTGGTGGGGGAGGTAAAGGCAGAGGTGGAGGCAGACATCGTAACTGTGGAAGACAAGGTGGTGGGGGGACGAATCCTGCCGGATTGGGAGTTGGAGCTAGTGGAAGGTACACACCCGACATGGGAAAGGTTTGCTGCGGTGATGTCGACATCTCTTTATCTGGAAAGGGCTCTTCATAGTGACAGCCTCACTTTGATCACAAATTCACCTACTTGGTTCTATACAACCTACCGTCCGCCAAAGTCAACTGCCGCAGAATGAACTGAACTCAACCTTCCGACGAGCCTTATGTTGACGTCTGTTCCTAGTTGCCCTCGCTTTAGGGCGCGCTTCTTGGAATCATCGCTGATCTCAAGCGACAAGTCAGAAACGGCTATTCTCCTGATCGACATCGATGACATTTTTCAGAGCAACAATGCAGGAACAGCAACGGGGGAGGGGGAAGAATGATATTCACTTCGTGTGGCGGTGTCTGCATGGGATTAGGCAGAGGCGGGTCAAGACCGTGGATGGACAACGTTCGAAAGGATGTTTTCGGGCAGCTCAGGCTTTACCTATGTGGTGAGTTTTTAGTGACACCAGAAGTTTTAAGCTAGACTTACGGCATGTATCGAGCTTCCATCGCTTTATTTATTTATTTCTTTTCTGCTTTCAGTCAAGAATAGCTTAACCCTGGGCCATGCTGATCGATCCGCTAACAGTGCACTGCTTTTCGTGGCTAGTTGTCTCGCTGTATTCCACGCCTTATTGTTAGTCGCTGTATTATCTAGTTGTCCTGCCCGCAGTATGTCCTCGGTTATGGACTTCGTCAGCCAGCTGGACCTGGCGTGGGAACCATTTTATATAAGGCAATCAATATATTCTTACCCATTTATCGAATTTTTGCCTGTATTGGTGGTCAGGCCAAAATGCGGAAGCAGTATCCCCGCTGAAGAGGATAAAGGATGATGCTCCATTGCAGATTTCGCATCTTCCAGAAGGCGGCAACCATCAGCTGAAAACCATCCGACGGCTACCACATCGACGGAAGATCCTGGTTTCAGAACATTTCCTTTCCGGAGGCTTTCACCAGAAGTACAACTGAAAATACTTGAACAAGTAAGTTTCTCCGTGAAGGGTTACTTGTATTTTGCACGACCGATTTCGAGATTGCTGAAGCGCAAGGAATCAGAATAAAACAGTCAATTGATACTTCCCTAGTATCAATGCTTTATGAGGAATGTAATAGTAATTAACCAAGGGGATGTAAATTCTACTAAGCCCGAAGAGGGAATGAGCACCGGGGCGGACGAGACGTGAATATTGTGGAAGGGCACCATCCAACGCTATTGTCCCGCTCAAGTCTGTAGGATTCGATAGAACCCTTGCACAACTTTTACATATAGGGCAACTTTCCTTTTACGTCTTCCCTTTTTCAGTTGTGCGTGGTTGAAACAGGGGTTTGAAAATATATATGTGCGCAGCATGCCAAAAACTAGCACAGCAGGGGGAGGGGGGAGAAGTTGAGGCCTTCCTCCCCCCAAGTGGGATGGGGAAGGAATTGATTGAACACTCAGTTAACCACTGATTCATTTCTTTTCATAAGTGTAAGCGCATGCAACTACATAGCAGACTATCCCTGCTTGGAGGACATCATCACGGGCTCGCAGGACAGCACCCATTCTTCTTCGGGCCAGCGCCTAGTGTTGGAGGGGAGAAGACCTCCCAAATACATTTTCACCCTCAAAATCTCACCCATGGTACATGGATTCGAAGGACTTTGCAACTCGAGAAGAACTTCAGACAAAGTAGAGGATTCTCAAGTACTAAAAAAAATCATCCAAAATGTAGAATTTAAAAGCTATTCACCGGTATCCTTTGGAATTAAGTCAACTCAAAAAGGCATCGAGAATTTTTTTAGGTCAAATTCGGAATAAATAAGAAGCTCCCAAGCAATGAAGCAGAGCGATAACAGACGGCATCGCCAAAATGGGCTCTATCTTGCCTTCGCTCAATCCACCTAGGGTCCGGGAACTTCTCCCTTGTCACGGCTTCGCACACTCCGCACCCGCCGCGTATCGCAGGATTGCGATGGAAGATTGGAGCGCGCAATTTGTGAGGCAGGGAGCCCTTTAATTATTTGAATTGGCTGACCGCTTTCTTCAATTTCAATGCAGTCTTGATCGCCGCTTACATAGGAGGAGTCATT